CGGTAATTTTACAAATCGCACTCTCGCCTGCATTTCGCGCACTCGACACGCACGATCTCCGCAGAGGGTCGCGCGCACACCGGACGAATCGCGCTCTCGCCTGCATTTCGTGCACTCGACACGCGCGATCTCCACAGAAGGTTGCGCGGTAATTTCACAAATCGCGCTCTCGCCTGCATTTCGTGCACTCGACACGCACGATCTCCGCAGAGGGTTGCACGGTAATTTCACGAATCGCGCTCTCGCCTGCATTTCGCGCGCTCGAATAGCACGATCTCCGCAGAGGGTTGCGCGCACAGCCGGCAAATCGCACTCTCGCCTGCATTTCGCGCACTCGACACGCACGATCTCCGCAGAGGGTTGCACTTTCGGTTGACGCTGTTCGTCCCGCCCTCCGCCTTGAAAAGAGAATTTATAAAGTGGGGAAATGTTTTTGTTTTTTCATTAGGACATCTCCCGTGCTAGTTTTCCATACTCACACTTGCCTACTCATTGCAGGACATCTCCCGTGCTAGTTCACTTGCCTACTCATTGCATGCTTGCAATACTCATTGCAGCATACTCATCATTGCATGCGTACTCATCACTTGCATACTTACACTTGCATACTTCCACTTGCATACTTTGACAGCTTTCGCTCTTCCACTTACACAGGGCTACGTATAGCGTTCATGTTATTTATCCTGCCAGTGTGGTGAAAGTGTCAATGTCTAGGTGTGTGGTGAAAGTGTCAATGTCTAGGTGTGTCTAAGTGTACGTGTCGAAGTGTCAGTGTTCAAAGGATTTTCCGGAAGAACCCTTCGCAATGCTTTCGGGAAAAACCTCGGTCGCATTTTTTCTAATAGGGGGTCCCTGAAATCGGGGGGGCCCAAAATAGGGTCACCTGGAAAGAGTTTCAAAACCAAAAAGTAATCCAGGAAAATTTTATATAAAATCCTTTATTAAACTCGTATCAAAAATGCAAAAAACCGCCAGATTGAAGGGTCTTCCTTTTCCCCTACAAAAACCCTCATTAGAATAGCGATTCTTCAGTAGACTAACAGCTAAAGCTTTCGAAAGGTGATGTCGCTGTGCCATGCGGTGTTGCATGACCTCGGTGGCAAGTGCGTTTGCGTGAGTCCGTGCCATTGAGGGAAGGAAAGCCTGCTGGTGTAAGCGCGGCGTGTCATGGTGGAGTTTTGGGGAACCTAATTAAAAAAACTACCCCCAAAATCGACCATGTTGGTAGTTTAGTAGCGGTTTGAAAGGGCGGCAACTTAAAACCAAATATAAACCGAATTTAGGGGTTCGGACGTGGTGTTTTTAATTGGGGAGTGTTTATTAATAGGAACTCGGGATTATGCAGTGGCACACAGTGGGTTGTGATCTTGAGATGTCAGGCTGTGGAATCAGCAGCTTGAGGATGGATGGAGATGGAACCTTTTGTTTGATTTGAGAGGTCGCCCGAGTTGACGACCACGATTCAAAAGTAGGTCGGAAGGAATTTTCAGCCTTTGCCCCCATCTAGTTTCATCAAGCTTTGTTTCGCGTGATTCAACTTCATTGAAGTTGCTTCAAGTTCTGAGATGGCTGACTCAAGGTCGCCAAGAAGCTAGCGAGACAGGCGGGCCTCCACACTGCCAATCAAAAAACTTGGCAAAAGATGAATCTTTTTTAAATGCCTCTCTCTGAAACTTGGACGATGGCCTCCAACCTAATAGCAAACAATATTAGACCTATCTGATTTCTTCTTTATATTTTTTGATTGTTTCTATTAGCGATGGCCTCCAACCCAATAGCAAACTTTTTTTTGTGAACGCCTTTCTCTGACACTTGGGCTGTGCTGTCGGTTTCATTTTCCAAATATGCCCAAACCGACACAGACCCGATGCAGGTTCCAGTGGCTCCAGTGTAGCAAGAGCCACAGTGGAGGTGGATTCGCAGTCGGAGGTGCTGTTGGTCCGAGCTCTCCTTGTCTTGGGGGTGGGGAGGGTCAAGTTTCAAGCAGGTGTTCTGGATCTTGGTAGCGCAAACAGATCCAGACGCATCTAGTGACTAGTAGGATAAGAAGCACAGGAAACAGAAAAGATCCTTGAGCAGTTGAGCCTTTTGCTGTGGCAGCCATGCCAGAACTTGCCGACGTGGCACCGAAGGTGCTCTGCTTGTGTTTACCTTGGTCCTGGCTGAAATCCGAACGGCCTTTGCTGGAGGCACGTGGAGAACGATAGATTTTGTGGCTTGGTCCTGAAGAAATCTGCTATTCCAGGCTCTGCAGAAGGGCTTTGCGACCTCCTTGGCAGCACAGGTGCGAGTTGCCTCGCCCGCGTCAGGATTTGCACGGATCGATTTGCACGACCTGCGAGGTGGCTGCTGGAGATGCAGCAGCTAGGCTTCTGGAGTATGCAGCCGTTTTGGAAATGGCCTGGGTCCGAGTTCAAGGAGCCGGTGGTCATGAGAAGCGAACGTGAAGCTACGTAGTATGTGCAATGGGCAAGGAAGATGATTCAAGGACAACAAGGGAACTTTCGGCCCTTTCGAGGCTTGGCCGTTTTGGTGAAACGGCCTCCCGTTTTGGGGACCGCCTGGGAGCCACGATCGTCAGTTCTCGTCAGTTTGATTCAACCTCGGAACATTTTTCAAGGCCTCCTTTTGGCTTCAGGGCCAGTGAGACAGACATAGTGAGACATTGGTTTCCTGGGTCTTTTTCCTGGTGTGTTTTCAGTACTGCTGATTAGACACCGATCTTGTGCCCTGAATCGTCTGCACAAATCTACAAGGCCAAAATCAGCAGAACAGAATGACACGTAGTATACCCAATTTCCATACAAAAGAATAGGAAAACAACCCACCTCGATGTCGTGTTAGGAGACATCGAATTCCAATCGCTGGAGCTTACGTAGCAGCGTGGTGAGTGGTGACAGCGAATAGAACCATGCGGCGCAAAGACTTCTCTGGAGTCGAAGACACGAGCTGCTCATGAGCTCCAACTGGCTGAAGCAGTTGAACATCTTCAGTTTTCAGGTCCAACCTAGGGATTTCCAGCCGCCCGCGCCTTGATTGTCAACTCCGAACAAAAGCCTCTTCCTCCTGAACCTGAGGCGTGCTACTCGCAGTTCGAGGCCAACGTCGAGGCGCGACACGCCCAGTTCGGCCGCTTCCCACGACGCCCGGATGCCCCAGGGAGGCGAAGAGTTTGGGGTGGATTGGGATGGAAAAAGAGGCGTGGACTTCTTCTTATTTTGCATTTTCGCAAGGCAAGATTTGGAGGGATGATCGAGATGACTTTTGTGGAGACACACTATGTAGGTGAGATTCATGGATTGACTAGGAATGATTGTGGTGTGTTTTACCTTTCTCCCTTTTTGGAGGGCGTGGCCCATGTGGTCAGATCGCTGAGGAATATGGCCGTTGGCCTCCAGAGGCCCTTCCATTCCAGCATTGACTGGACCGCTGTTGGAAGAGGCTTTGGAGCAGTTCCGTCAAAGGCTTGGGATCTCGGAGGAGGACCGCTTCGGCTGGAAGCGGGAAAAGGTGATTGATTTGGTGTGATCAAGTGAGGCTTCAGTCTAAGCATTTTGTTGGGCTGACATCTACTGTTACTACTTTCTCCGGTCTCCCAACAGGTCTCGGCACGATGCCGGCATCATTGACCGGTGAAGAGATGGACCTCTTCCGAATGATTGGTGGCCCACCGGTGTCCGTAAATACAGTGCTGCTTTCTGGGTCGCAGTTCGGACCCGGAGAACGGGTGCGCACGAACAGAACGGGTGTGTATGAAAATAGGGAAACCTCCCAGGCATTCCGACCCCTGGAAGCTCCGGGCAAATAGGACCAGTCAACCCAGCCAAACTACCTCTTCACACATCCACAACGGGACTGGCAGTGTCGGTCACTGCGATCGCCTCTGTTTGGAGACCATGGTCTGGAGCGGGAACGCCAAACGCGGCTTTTGGAGAGTTCGGTTCAGGAACTTTAGAACACAACCGATGCAAAGGAACTGTGGGTCATGGCACTGGGGGGTTACGTGTCCCTTGCCCTCTGGGCGGGTGCAGAGTGGGGTAGTCGTGTTGTTAACAAAACGGACAGAAACTGACAGAAACTAGCGGTGAATTAACCACGTGGAATCTCGCGAAGTGAGAGCAGCAACTAATTTACACATACGGCATACCCAAACTGTAGGAATGGGCACCCCAGAGAAATCACGGTTAGCTCTCCAAAAGCGACGAGGCTCCAGGTATTGACCCACACCCATATATTGCTCTGGTATAATGAGTTGATACATAGTCTAAAAAGTAGTTGTTGGTCTTCACATGTTGGTTCACAGGGAAAGCTTGGACTGGATGTTCGGACAGTGCCCCAGCAACACCTCCGCACGTTAGGGGAGATCCAACTCAGACACTTTGGAGAGGAGGGCAATCTTTTTTTGAGTATTTCTTTTGTTCTACCTGTTGACTCTGTGGCTTTTGGCATTTGCTTCTGTGAAGTTACAGTTGGCTTTTGGCTTCGGTGGCTTCTGTGGCATTTTTGCCTTTAGGCGGCTTGTGTGGCTTTGGGCTGACGTTTGGTTGTAGGTGTGTTGGTTTGGGTTTTTGATGGCTTGCTTTTTGTTCTCGGGGATTTGGTCGGACTTTGATGGCGGTTGATATTGTTTTTTGTGGCATTTTGTGCTGTAGCTTTTGGGTGGCTTGGCACTCGGTTTGCTCTTGAAAGGAGGCGCCGCGGTGGAGCGCCCTACCCCCAACCCTTCCAGCTTTTTCCAGCCGAGCCAAGTCAACCCAAAAATACGAGAAACAACTAAACCACAGCCGAGCTAAAGCCAAGCCCAATCAGTTTAGGGTAGGGGACGACCCTCAGAGGCACTACATTTTAGAAAGGTTTTTAAACCATACATGGAGCAACCTGGCAAAAGAAGAAACTATTCCAGAAAAAGAAGCAAAGACCCTTCCATGTCACGGGACGCAAAAAGGAGCATCGCATGGTGGTGAAGACCCTGCCGCAAGAGTGCCATGGGAGCAACCTGCTGACCGTGCTGGCCTTAGAGTTGAACAGCGGAACTATGATGATCAGATGTTGGTGCCCAGTGCGCAGGGTTCCGAAATGGGTCCTTTGAAATGTATTGACCGGCAGCACTGAGCGCTTTTCCATCCGCAGACCTGCAGGTCTTTCCATCTCAGTCACACTGAGCGCTCCGTCTCACCGTCTCACGCGTGCCGTCCGGCTTCCGGAGTCGCGGAGAAACGCTTCAGTCGGAGTTTGATTGAGACTTGTTCCTAATACTCGTAGCTTCTTGTTACTACTAGTATGGCACCTGTTCCTAGTAGCGTGGCACTTGTTTCTACTCTTCCTGAACGGCATGGGAGGATTCTGGAGTTGGTGGACTTTGATTTGCTTCGTAGTACCCAATGCCACCGCGTGGATCAAATCCATGAACTTTGTCCCTGGGATTTATCTGGGAATGTTTGGTAATGCTAACGAACAAGGGGGCCAGTCCAAGAACAAAATTCATGAATTTTCTTGGTCATTGTGTTTGCACCATGGAAATTATCCAGCCAGCATGTGTGAACCAATTGACCACAATAATTGAGCAGCTTTAAGGAGGAACGACCTCTTTGTCACACATGATGACATGATGAGTTATTAATTTTCTGTCGTGTATGTTGTCCGCTTCAAACTCGGTGGTGCTCAGGTTTGCCAAGGACTGGGAAAGTTGAATGTCCACTTGTTCTGCACCATGTCTTTCCAAGCCGGACTTGCCTCATTGCTGCTGACCAAACCCGCCTTCCTCTCAACGCTCAGCAAAATAAAGCCTCCAGGCAATGGATAAAGTCATTGGGCCTCAGGTTTCTGCCTGCCAACATTGTGGAAGTCTTTAAAGTATTTTTAACTCTTTTTAGCGGACGGTATCATAACGTGTTGGTGCACTGCGGCATCTAAAGCCAAATCGATGCGGACAATGTCCATGCCCCCAAGGTTCAAATTCCAAGAGCCAGCATGTAGCATGGGCCTGGCTATTTTTGAATATTCTGCTATGCTTTAGAAGTTCCCAATACACTCCAGTATTTGCAATGGTTGGGTCTCAAACCAAAACAAAGCATGCCCCGACGTGTGATCTAGGTGTCATCTAGGTGAAGTAATCTAAGGTTTGTCGGCTTCGACATTGCACAAGCTGAACGCTGTTGCACAAAGTGTTTGTGCAGAACGTCTCCTTGAAGGTGTTGTCCATGGACGGAATCATTTTTGCCAGAGCACCTGGCCGATTGGATCAATTTGCAACACCCAACTCATGGACCGAATGATTTGACAAAACAATGAGCTTGTTTTTTTCCTGATGACATGCTGAATGAAAATGCTGTTATCATGTTTGGGGCCAAAGGTTTGATCACCCAAATCGACATGAACGACACCTGCAAGCATCAAATTCCAACCATTTTTGCACCTGTCTGGGATGTCTGACCTTTTCATTTATTGAGTGCGTTGCTAGCTAAGGGTGATCTAGATTCTTTGTAGTAACCCTGCAGCAGCTGTTTTCGTTATCTCTGAATTTGAGCTGCGCTTTTGGTTAAAGTAGGGTCTTCTGGTAGCCGATTAACCCTGTGTCTTAGGCCCACGAGCTTACTTAGTAGGTGATAGGTATCTTGATTAGTTCGGTGTTAGCAACTTCTGAGTCCAAGAAGCCCAGGACCCCAAAGTAGCGGGTTTCATTTCTTCAACCTATGCAACCAATCATCGACGGAAATGTGTCTGAACAGCTCTGAAACTCGCCGCCTCCGTCTCCGCGCAAATTGAGGATCACAGCTGTGTTTTTTTGGGGATTCTCCCAGCGTCCAGAGGCTTCTGCCGAACTCCCCCCTAGGGGGGGTGGCGCCAACGTTCTTGGGGCCCAGAAGCAAAATTGGAGTGCCTTGAGCAGCAAGACTAGGGTTTTCTTCTCAGGATTCATTGTGCCCTTGAGGATCAAGGAGCAGAGCAGAAGAATGAACTAACACACTGTAGATTTTCTTGATCTTGAATATGTTTTGCAGAGAGATCCTTCAGAAGTGCAGCACCGTTTTGAGTAGTTTTCTGGCACAGTGCTTCCTACTTCACCAAGGTGTCTTACATACACAGTTTCACCCCGAACTTCTTTGTGGCCGCCTTTGCCTGAGTTGCAGTGTATCTTTATTCAAGGTCTATTTTACTTTGTTGACTTCTGGACACCGACCGACACTTTCATGGAGCATGGATGAGCATGGTGCTTGTGAAGTAGTGCAGACTCGACAAACCGTCCATGGTCCTTCGGTTCCTCCCCAACCAGCTCGTTTCCGCACCGGGCTCAGGTCTCTGCACTTGGACGAACGAGTTGAGTGCTTCTCACCCTCAAATGGAGGAGAAGGCTTTTCCCTTGGAATGGAAACATTGGCCAAGCTCCAGCCCAGCGACCCGGTGTTCGCTTCATGACCCGATACGACGGCTTCATGTGAGACCGATAGGACCACATGAACAAAGGCCACAATCCAGTCCTTGCGGCAGGATGTCGATCATCCAGGGCTCTGGGTGTGGCTTGACTGACTGACTCACAAAGCATGGATTAACCAGGAATGTTTACCGATGTTCAGGTTTCTCGAGTGGCCTACGGTTTCTCGTCCATCTCTGTGAGGACGTGAGCATCGAGGATGTACGTGCGGAAGCGGCAGTGGCTGTTGCTGGTGCCCTGACCATTCGTCCCTGACGGCAAAACTTCATGAAGTCGAAGGTTGAACGAAGGATGAGTCACCCAAGATGCCGACCTTTCCAAGATGCCAGGTACATTGGTAGAGAAAGTGCAGCAGGAGAGAAGAACCAATGGGGCGAAGGCGCCCCGCTTGCACCATGGATCGGGCCGTCGCCGGTTTCGATGTGGTTGCCTGGAAGCCTGGTAGAGGCCGACTAGAACTCACAGGGGGTGGAGCCGGATTTGACACCCAAGCCATCCCCTTTGGGCAGGGTCAGGGTGTGACGGTGACAATGAATTTGTTTCCGCGCCCAACCAAAGGCTTTGCCACGTTTTGTCCAAGTTGGCTTTTGAAGTCACCGTACCTGGTGTCCCTGTTCTTCTCCACCGCCGACGAGGTGGTGAGATATCCGCCGCCCCCGCCCTTTATCCGAGCGGTCCTTTTAGTACAGGCCCGCCTCGGACCGGGTGGGTGAAAGGACGACGGGCAAATGCAGCGGGTCCCAGGCATTTTTTGCATCGTGAATGTGGCGATATCGTCAGTGCTGAGTAGCATTCAGCAAGAGTATTCCAGCATTCAATAGGACCAATGGGACATACTTTAGTTAACGGTCTTAAGTGATGCATTTCCAGACGTTTGTCTGGAAGTTGCAGTGTGTTGTGATGGTTGGCAGGCCACTGGCAACGTGCTTACATGCTTTTTGTTGGGTGTTCGATGCATTTTTTTCAAGACGACAGTGTTTTTCCGGCCTCGACTGGTCGGAGCATGGTTTTTCTGGAGGTATGACTACCTCCGTTGAACGTTCCATTTCTCAAAGCAGGCTGCCACTCTGATGAACGATTTATGATAGATGGCATATTCTTCTTTTCTGCCACTCTGATGAGCAATTTTTGATTTAAATGTTTTCCTCCTACATGTGCTCTTGCCTGCCGGCGACCTTCCACTCTAGATGCTGAGAATGGACGGGGACTGTTGGCCACGTCGCAGAAAAGGGACTGTTCCCATGTTTTTTGCTTTTTGGATCCAGGTTCTTTTAGTTGTCGTCCTTCCAGTGGAGCCGCTTGTATTTGTGTGTATAGTTCTTGTGAGTTCGGATGACCATAAACTGTTTTTTTTTTTTTTTCTGGGAATGTGAGGAGGAACCCCCAGGCTCGGGGCCTGAAGGGATGCAGGATGACCATGACCCTCACGCGAGGAGGAGTTGGAGAACCATGGCACATGTTTTTGTTCGGATCAGCCGCGGCGTGTTGTTTTGACCTATCCCTCAAAAGGAAGGGCCGAACGGGTTCTGTTCGGATTTTCCTCTATCAACCATCAACCCCAAAAGACTGCTTTGTAGACTCTCAAAATGTGATTCGGTGTAGACTCACAGCTTCGGATCACGTCTCATTCTGTCAGACGAACTGGAGAACCGAAGCTGCCCTTCGCTCCGCCGCCGAGCGGGCGAGGCCTTCGTGCGGCGCCGCGCCTTCCTCCGGAGCTTCGGCGGCGTTGGGACCGGCGACAACGTCGATGAGGCCGGTGGCAACGGTGGGGGGAACGTGGGTCGATGGGGAGGAGAATCCTTGAGGAGTCCATCGGCGCTAAGTTGTCTTTGCCTCAGGATTTTCACTGGACTAGATGAACAAAAAGAGAACTTGGGTCAGACCCAAGCGCCGGCTGGATCAGGCCTAAGAGGTCTTGCTGGTGAGCTCTATGACAAAACTCTGACTTGAGAAAGTTCAAATCCTCAATGCAGAATGCGGGTCGTTCTACTGAGAGGGTTAAAAGCAGGGACTACTTTGACGTGCTTGCTTGAACAAAATGACACTCAACAATTTGATCTGCAAAGGCCTCTTGTGCTCTGAATCATAACGAATAAAAATCCGAGGCTTGAGCAAGGCACAACTTAATCTACGGGTTTGGTCAAAACTGTAAGGCTCAGCAGGATTCCGCAGCTCGTAGTCATTCTTCCTCTAACAATATACGTAGGCCCACTGCCATTTGCAGTTGTCGAGACCTTTCATATTTCGTCCACCATTTTGTCAATTTCGTTCACCCCTCCCTCCTCCGTGAGGGCTGTTCATGAGGGCCTCCCTCGTGCACTGGGGGGCCCTCGTCGTTTGACAGATCCATGCTCCTCCATCCCTCCTAGGCCCGACGCTTTGGGAACTTGGTCTCTCCCAGGCCACCCAGACCACCTAGACCTGGTTGGGCGCTTTTCGGCAGCGAAAAGCCGCCCAGCGCGCCAGCCCCGCGTAGTTCACTTTCCACCGCGCGAAGGAGATTTTAGAGTTGGCGCCGGCCAAGCCGATGATGTCCATTGCATTGAACTTCGTCCGACGCTTGAAGAACTTCAGGCCTTCAGCGTGTGCGCCCGCATGTGCCTGCGGGAACGAGCTCGGCCGGACATTTCGTTCGTTTGCCACGGCAGGAAGCGGCGAAGTGGAAAACGATCGGCCATTTTTTCCAAGAATCACAGTGGATTCGTATGGTGATTATGGTATATTTTGTAGATCTTAACTTTGGAGGAAGGAACATTGCCTTTTCACTTCCATCGGGTTTGGTCGCCCCGGGCCCCCCGTCGCAGCGGGCCGCCTTGCCCGTTGCAGCGGGCTCCTCAGCAGGTGGGTGAACATCGAAAGGGAGGCGACGTTGGTCGCTGGATTGGTGGATGCACAGGCGGGCTGGGGTGAGGTATGGTGAGGTGAAGGAACAGGGGAGGAAGATTTTTCATGTCATTCACCGGTGGGGAGGAACTGAGGAACTTCTGTGTTGTGTAAGACTCACATCTCTTCACACACCAGACATTTGTTGCGGGTGGTGTGGGGTTGTTCGCCACTGTTGTAACCGCTTCAAATCACTTCAATGCGCGTCGTGTGTTTCGCACTGTGAGTTGAGTGACACGCAGGCTGCCAACATCACCATGCGGGACGTCTCGGCAGTTGTCAACTACTACCAGGACAAGGCGCTTGGAACTCTTTGAGAGAACGAAGAAGGTTTCTCGGCATGGCTCCATCTCATCCGCTCTACATAGACTGAATCAAGGTAGCTGATCGCCATATGACGGGATATTTGTTTGGTGGCATTGGCTTTGTTGATTGATTGCTCTTGGTGTTGGGGGCTGTAGACCCTCAGGGCCTGGGGATTGGAGCACGCTTGGGAATTTGTGATCGGCAACCAGGAGCCATTCACAGGGTAATGTTAACTGTCGACTTACCCCCCCAGTGGACTTTTGCCAAGCATCTCCACATGTCTTTTTCCTCACAGCAGGTAACATGACGGCTTGTTGTTTCCACCGCTTCTTGTGCTTCCGCATGACTGAAGGTGCCCTCGGACCACTTGTCCTTGAATGCCGGGAGCTCCAAAAAACCAGGGCGACCGTGACAATTTGGCACTTCCGAACGGTGCTTACAGTGCTCGCCCATTTCCCGAAAGCGCTGATGGTTGGAGGGAAGGGTGGAATAGAAAGCATGGCTTGGATCCAGGGGCTTCGAGTGCGTATTGGGTGAATCAAATCATCCTTTCCACTGACCACGCCCTCACGGATGGGAATCACCAAATGAACTTATTCAGTCAACCAGGGCTTCTGGGGGTACACGTGGCAACACTCTCCGCCTCTTCCGAAGGTTCCGCATTTCCCTGGCAAAGGCCGTCCAAGTGGGTTTTTGCTGGAAGACCAATTCGGTGGGCTCAGTGTCACCTGTGGGCTTCTTTGCAGGTTTTTCGACAAGAGGCGTCTTGCACACCATTCTCTGGCCAGTTCTTTTGCCTTCTCTCTGTGTAGATACCTCCGAGATGCTTTGGGCTTTTCTGTTTTTGTTGGAGCAGCTTCAAAAAGTCCAGTCACACAAAGCATGGACACTGCTTCGTTGGGGGGCGCTCGGGAGTGTCTTTTACCGTAGTTCCAGCACCCGGAAACAGATCACAGTGGATTCAAGTGCCCCAAGATGCCATCGCGATGGTGCAGAACTCATCAGAACTCCTCAGGATCAATTAAATGGGGGTTCCCAATTTTAAGTGCAATTCTCATCTGATACCAGCTTCGTTCTTCGACGCGCCCCGGCTTTGCATTCACATCTCCGTGATTCAGGTTTTGCAGGAAGCTCTGGATCGACAAGTGATCGTCGCCAAGGAGGCCTTACAGGAGCGTGACGTGGGCGTGCGGTGCTCTGACAGGGGGGAATGGCATCAACTTCGCCTTCCAAATGGAAAACGGCGAAGATGGCCTTTTGCCATTGGTTGTTGGTTGGTTCATTTTGTTTTTTAGAGTCGATTAGAGGGGGGCGATACCCCCATACAATCTACAAAAATAGATTGCTTATCCTTTATTCACAGAAAATTAAATCAGGAAAAAAAGGAGACCAGGGCGCAAAGCTGCTAATTTTTTTATTTCTAGGGGTTGGGGTGCATCATGTGCATCGCGGGGGTTGCTTTTCTGACCCGTTTCAGGTATGTAAGTACTTTGGGGCTCCGGGAGTCTTCAAATGATCCGTCTATCATCTTCTATCACATCATTTTTACAACATTTTTACTGGCATCGACCCCGGTTACCAGGCGTCGAGCCGTGGGGGACGGTCGACCACGACTCACTTCGCTCGGTTCGCTGCGAATGGATTTTTGAGCACAGGTGGATGTGTTCGTTGTTGCTTTTCGAAAAGCAAAAGAAACGACAAGTTTTGACTTCTTCTAGTCTATTATCTATGATTTATCACATATGTCCATTAATTTGTTTTCTTTAGAGTCTTTTTGTGGCTTGTCTATGTCACCATTTTTTCGAATGTCTCCAAGCACGGTACGGGTGTGTCTGGAGACCTCGCCACAGGAACAGCAACTCGAAGCCACTTTTACTTCTTATGGGCAGGAGGGCATCTGTGGGTTTCCCAAGAGATGTGTTGACCATCTCAGAAATCAGATCCGCACTTGAGATGCCACCCACCCATCTCCAGTCGCAGCTGGGTTTAGAGTGAAAGCTACAGCCGGGGGGTCCATTGATCTTGGAATATGAGAAGCGATGTTTTGGACTTCATTCGCAATGCCTCACGATGCTTCGGCTTGAGCTGGCGCAGAAAAACGGCAGCTGTTGGGCTCAACAATGGACGAGATTTCCTCGCAATGAGAGGAGCAACGCAGCCGAAGACCAATGCCCAAAGCAAACCCGAGTGGTCTGACACTGTTCCGACTGTAAATAGACCAAATCCGCAAAACATCAAGAGCAACTGCAATTTTCTTTGTTTAAATCTTGTTTTGCCCATCATCCCGCCGCAAAGGAGGGCTTCGAGGTTAGATTGAACCCGTGAAGATTAGGACCGCTTCAGGGTTCGGTTTTTGGTTCCTAGGGAGGTTTCGAAGCATTGAGTCTTTAATAGGCATTTTTGGCAGCGCCATGGCAGTGGCTTTAGCTTTGCCCCAAAATGCTCGGAATGAGGCTTTTTGGGGTGCTGTGCAGTTCGTGAGGTCTGTTTGGTTCCAATTTTTGGGGTTGGGAGGGCTGTTTTGTAGCGGCCATTTCGTTTCTCAGATCGGGTTCTTGTGAATCCGTTGGTGCCCACCATCCAGCGTCTTCGGCCTCTCGATTCCTGAACTGAGCAGCGATTCCGCGGTCGAACAGAAGGACGTCGGTCTCTTCTTTGTCTGGGGGTTCGTCCGAACAGATGTCTGATGTCCAAGACGCGTTCCGGGTAGGTGCGTTCCTGGTGGCCGCTCCAAGACGTCATTCCTCGTGAACTGAGCAGCGAGGAGCAGGATCAAGGACCCGCGCCCGGAGGGGCGGAAGCAGCGTCTCCCGGCTTGCCCGGAGATCCGCTTCAGGGTTGAAGAGTATCATGTCAGGACTGGCGCTCAAGTCAGTTCTTTTTTTGAAACGCAATATTTGGGAAAGACAATTTTTGAGCAGGAAGAGCACTGAGTTGTTCTTCATCTCAAAGCTTCACATAAACGGGGAGAACGTGCAGTCTTTTGTCACTGTCTCACAGTCACAGCCACATATTGAGCAAAGTCCATTTGTGTGATAGTGATGGTGATGCTATAGTAATGCTACAAAACAAGGCCCCGGCGCAAACCAGATTTGACCTGCTAAACAAACAGCACTTCATGAGAAAGGGTCATGTCAACTACGCGAGATTGGTGGAACTCGCAATCCAAATTGAATGGCGTGTTTAGAATACTTTTGCACATCCGAAATTGGGCAATTTATAAACCTCTTCACATCGCCTGGGGCGAACCGCTTTTTTCTCTGGGCACCCCATGGATGGGCCTTGACATGTGTTGATCTCCTTCTCTACGAAGCGCGCGCAGCGCGTCAGGCCTGATCTTTGTCGTGCAAGGGGTAAAAAGCAACTTCCTGGTATCTGATTGGAAACGGCTGGGTGCCTCCGAGTTCGAAGACTGGCCCCGTACGTGGTTTGGGGGATGGCGTGGGGCGGGTCAATAGAGTCTATTGAGAGAAGAAAAAGATGGCGCCTCTACAGGACGAGAGATCTCGCACATCTTGAAGACTTTTGCTTGGTTCCATCCGCCCCGAGGCTGAACGTCCGGTCGGGTCGTTGGTCGTTAAAGGAAGCAGTGAAAAGAGACCAACACCAAGCGACCCGGACTGTGGAGGTTGCGACCCGGGGCGGGTTGCGACCCAGAATCGATGGGATTTTGACTTGAATTGAAGTATTGTTTCTACGTTTGCTTCTTGTTACTACTAGTAAGGCACTTGTTACTAGAAGCGATGCACTTGTTCCTAGTAGCTTATAGCGTGACTTGAATTGAACTTTGAGATTCCCTGACCTGAAAGCTCTCCAGATTTGCTCCTTTGCCCAGAGTGTCAATCAAAAGTGTCGTGCAAACCTGTCCTACAGGAGTGTGGAGCGAAAGTTTTGCACAGACGTGTTTTACACAGACGTGTCCTTCAAAAGTTTTGTGCCACCCCAGAAGGTCCTTCAAAAGTGTGAGTTCAAGAGTCAGTGTGAAACAACGTTTGGCTGCTTGTGTTGAGTATGTGTGTGCATTTGGGTTCGTGGGCTCCATCTTGTATTGTCAGCAAGCTCATTAAGACTTCGAACACAGCCGGTACTTGTGCCTTTGCTCAAAAGGACGATGCAGGGGTGCTGGGGTGCCAGCCCAATTGTTTTCACACGTTTTGTGACCAAATCCCAGTCCAGGGCGTTTGCAACATCTCATTTCCCTCCTAGATGAGTGCCGAGTTTTACCTGACTGACGCATGCCTGTATATTGAAAGTATTATTGGTAGCCCTGCCATTTCCAGGTTTGACGGGTATTTGGGAAGAACTCTGGGTATTGAAAGGTAGGCCGCCGTAAACGTTTTCTTTCAGAGGGGGTACATGTTTCACTGGAAAGCAACACCCCCAGGTTGAGAATCAAACATTGGATATATATACTGTAGATTGCTTTTGTACATCACCCCTGCGTTTTTAGGTGTTGAGCTCCTCTTCCCATCCTTTTTGCCACCTGGTGCATTTGTTCCATCTTGAAATGCTCCAGCCGGAATCAGCGTGGCGTCGCAGGTAGCGCTGGCGAGCGGTCCAGCGCAGATCAAGCAAGCCCGGCCTGCTTGGTGACAACGTTTAATTTTTTGAAAAGACCGGCTGAAGAATGGCACGTGAAATCCACGCGCGCTGACAGGGTATGTACATCTGATACCTGCTATATACATATATAGAAGATATATATATATATACATATTACTAAATGCAAAAGCCGCTTCAAAACCCCCAGGCAGGCTTGACAGGGTCGATTGGGCCATTTATTCTTGGGGCTTCGAAACGAACAGCCATTGTGGACACCGTGTCCCAGCACCCGGTCACCTCTCAGGACGATGCGATCACCATGTCCCTATCGGGTCAAAACCAAGTGTGTCCCACACATCCCAAGCTACCTGATTCTTCTAGGCTTGCTTTTCGGTGTATGATGTGTTCGGGGTGAAACCATCACGACTCAAAGAGGTCAAATCAGAAACAAACAGAATCCCAAGCCAGGCCAATCGCATTGTCGGCTGCTCAGGAAGTTGGGGAGGCTGCAAGTCTTTGCATAATATAGGTCCTTGTTTTCGCACCTGGAAAGTCATGTGACCTTTCCGTGGGGGAAAGATCTCGACGAGGTCACTCGATGAAATTCAAAAAGATGCTGGTTTGACAGAGCTTCCCCATAAGACGGTCCTGATCATCTTTGAGGGGTATGCCCAGCTGTCACATTCGTGCATGTATTTGGGCAACAAATGCTTGCTGGGCACTTCTGAGGGTTTCTTGTGGGCGAATGACTCACGCATGTCGTCATGTCCAAGCAAGGAAAAGAACCAGCACCACCCGTTGTTGGGGTATCGGAAGGAACATACAGTCAGGGGGGCCTGTGAACCACCTGACCTGGGTGGACGGAAGGGTCTTTCTTTCAACCGAACAACTGGGTCTCACCCGTCGCCGATGTCCATCGAACGGACCCCGGTCCGTTTTGTTTCTCCGAGGGTCCCTCGTGTGTCGGATGGAGCTCCGGTGTCGGGAGGCAGGAGCCCCTAGTAGCGTTCTTGCTCCTAGTAGCGATGCCCTTTGCTCCTAGTAGCGTCCTTGTTCCTGGTAGTAAGGCCAGGAGCCCCTAGTAGCGTCCTACTGATAAAGGAACATGAAAAGGACATCCGAATAATTGAATAGGCTCGCTCCCGATCTGAATAGGTTTCCATTGGAAGACCAATGGGTTTGAGTCTAGTGTTGCCTTTGGGATTTCGGGGGAGCCTGGCGGTCTCACTCCCAATTATCCGTTGGAATCCGTTGGACATATTCCATGTTGAACACGGTTGTACATTGCACTTTAAGTTCTGAACATGGGACATGCAGTGCCAAGGAGTTGTTCTTTAGCAGTCCCTAAGTGAGTGAAACATAGTGAAACAAGAGGACCCCAGCCCTATCCTCTCCCAAGCACCCCCGTGTGAACTGCTGGCTGCTGGCACCTTCAGCCGTCTCCCATCGTGGTCTCCCTGATCGGTCAAGACGGGTGATGATGAGCTCGGCCGCTGGTGGTGCTGGCCATAGCTCAGCCTCCAGGTGTTCACGCTTTCTTTCTCCCAGTTTCATGTTTCAGTGCTTCATTTTCTTCCTCAAACCGGTCAAATACTGAAACATGGTTCGATGTCTGTCTGGCGGTTTTTGGCGCCCCGGGATGCGAGGCTATGTTTTTTTTTCTGCGTGTGGAGTTCGCGTGGACCTGGAGTGCCCGAGGTGCAAGAGTTCCCCTTCACATTCTCCTGCAACTACCCGGACCTACTAGCTTCGCTGGAAAAGCTTCGCCAGTGGAAGGACACGGCAAAAGGCCATCACTTCCGGGGACTTTGCTGGGTACTTGGAGGCAACAAAAAGTGTGAAGCAAAGCAGAGGGTGGCACAAAAAGGATTCTGACATGTTTTTACAATATTTTACTATCTGTCTTCCCCCACTTTTTACAGGAACAATTCATCTTCAAGACCATCCTTTTGGCTAGGAATCACCCCAGCTTGCACCTGGAGGTTTTCTGGCTTGGGTTCCTGACATGCGGAACTGGCAACTTCATTGTTTTGGTTCCATTGATCTTTAAAGGTGTTTCTTGGAGGCTAAGGATGCCTTTTTTGTCCCAGGAGATTTTAGTAACAAATCTACAACTATCCTTGCAGCTGAGTTGAGGGGATAGTATCTTGGCTGCAGGAAGACTGGTCTCATCAAAAACTGTAGGCAGTGGAAGCAGACTTTGATTTCAAGGCGGCATAGCTCTCTCTCTCTCTCTCTTTCTGAGCACTCTGAGCAAACGAGGCGGCAAGTCTTTACATTTCTCTGTCCTTGGACCTGGAACTACCTGCTTTTCCACGTCTCTCCCAGTTTAGGGCACCACTTCTACCCGTCAGACGCCACAGCAGGCGCGGATCTCCCATCCGTTCAGCTGAGCAATGCCTTCGGCCGCTTCGCCCGGGAGACGGCGCTGTTGTCCCAGGCGGAGGAACGGGGTGTTGGCGCGCCGAAACGAGCACCGAAGTTTGAGGGTGCCAGATGCAATAAGAGCGCCTTTGTGAAGACGTGAGAAAAACAATCCCTTTTCTTCGTGATTGACCATGGTTCGCCTTCAGCTCCAGGTTCTCCGAGAAACTGCTAAACATCAAGCTATTGAGCTGGTCCGACTGATGGCACAAGGGGACTTCATTCAGATCTCGCAAGGAGAGGATTGGTTTCAACTGAAAAAACTGACACGGTCGGTTTCAACAGAGCGCGCAACGGGACCGTCCTAGTACGGTCCACGCACTTGGAATGCAAGAGGGTCCTGCAATATCCTGCAATTGCATTTGGATGTTGCAAGTACCTTGCATTCCCCTTTTCAGAGCAAACTGCTCCATGGCGCGGAACCATGGTCAGGAAACATCCACAAAAAATTATCCCGGCAAGAGAACCCCAAACAGTCTGTGTGAGGTCTAGAGGTGTAGCAGCAGAAAGTCTAGAGATCCTAGATGCATTGGGGTCCAGAGACGTGATGGTGGGATGGTGGCGATGAAGGTGGAGATCGTGGCGGTGGTGAGTGAGTGAGTGAGTGAGGGAGGGAGGGAGGGAGGGAGGGATGGAGGGAGTGCGTGGGAGGGAGTGAGTGAGTGAGTGAGTGAGTGAGAGTGAGAGTGAGTGTGAGTGTGAGTGAGAGTGAGTGGACTGAGAGAGTAAGTGAGTTTGAGCCTGAGTGAGAGTGAGTGTGAGTGTGAGGGTGATCGTGTGTGAGTGTGAGTGACAGCAAGAGTGAGAGTGAGAGAGAGAGAGAGAGAGAGAGAGTGAGAGTGAGAGCGAGCATCTGGGAGCACAAAGTGCTGCGCCTGCCACGAAATCTGCACTTCAAGGTTCACAAAGTGCTGTGCCTGCCACGAAATCTGCACTTCGAGGTTCACAAAGTGCTGTGCCTGCCGCGAAATCTGCACTTCGAGGTTCACAAAGTGCTGCGCCTGCCACGAAATCTGCACTTCGAGGTTCACCACATGCTGTGTTTTCCACGAAATCTGGCACTGCGAGGTTCACAAGGTGACAAAGTGCTGCACCCACCCCGATTTCTGAAAACGACCCACATGTCCAAAACTAAATTCACTGCACGTGTCACGTTAGAACGCGTCAAAGATCACCACCATGTCCAAAATGCTGCACCTGCCACGAAATCTGCAGTTCGAAGTACAACCGCTCCGATCCGTTGCACCTGTCACCAAAAGTCAACTTTGCACCGCCAAAACACGAGGTGTCCCTTGCGCCTGCCACGAAAAGTGATCATCATGTCCGAAAATGCGCACGGCGTCACAACGAGGGCGCAGTCGCGACAAGCACCCGCTCCAGCCAACCAGATTTTGCAAGCTTGCGCAGTCGAAATGCACTTCGAGGATTTCGAGAGGTATGAATGTACTGTACATGGCAGCGAATTAGCCGGACACGGATGCGCGACACCTCGATAAGACACGAGTGCTTAACCATTACCGTAAGAATGTGTGTCCACACTGTTTGGGGAAATATGGTCTTGCAGCTTGGTGGTGGTTGTCTGAGAAACGCACCATGACTGACTTCAGATGGCCACTGTCTGTTCCAGGTGTCCGGTCTCTTCCACCTGTAGAGCAGGATGAGGATGCTCCCCAGCTTCCCCAAGATTTCCTCAAGTGCTGACCGCGACCTAGTGGGCGCGAGCTTGGTTTTCGCAGATGGCTCAACACCCTGAAGCCCTGAGTCCGCCCTGGTGGCGTTTTGGGTGGCTCACCCTACTCAACTGGTTGGTCAGTTTTTGAAGATGGTTCTAAGAACCTCCGGTCGGGCCCATCAGGTACTGCTTGAGAAGAGGTGCCGACTCTATTCTGGTGCTTTGGAGCCTCAAAAGAAGTCTCAAAGATTCTTCCCTAGTTCATCAGGATGATGGCCGCCATAGTTTCCAACTTGTGACATGATGGACATGCACTGCCGGACAGGACACTTGAGATACATTCTGAATGCCTTCAGATATGAGGACTTCAGCCGACACTGTAATGATTTCCAGCTCAAATGGTGGATGACGCAGCTGGGCACCAGTTTCAAATCTTTTGTTGCCAACAACACATGCAGTACAGGACGCGCAGGAAGATTTTACTTCTTGAGGGTTGTTGAAGCCTCCATTCCTGACAGTTTTCTTCTAGCCAAGGGTGTTGTAGTTATAGTGGTTGGCTGAGTGGTCATGAATCTAGAGATTTCTGCACTGCGCTGTTGCGCTGAGATGCTGTAGTGGGGCAATGTTGTCGTGCTGACATGCTGGCAAACTCCAGAGTGGGTTCTCTGTTTTTTTGTTGCAGCGCTATCATGGTCGCACGGATGTGGGCACGTGTGCTATGCCGGATATTGCTGTAGTCCAGCACAGAAACAATACTTGTTGGTGAACCTGCGATGTTGCCTGTGCCATAGGTGGACTCATGCCCAGCTGTTGAGGATCTTTTTGTTCTAGTTTTGAGGACCAATGTCCCAGAGTCGAAAACATACATAATTCCTGGTGAAGATGCAAGGGGGCGGTGTGTCGAGCGTTTAGCTTAGAAAATGAAGTCCTGCCTGGTAGGTGCAAGGGGGAAAAGAGAGCTTCCAAAGTTCCAAGGATGCCCCCAGGTGTGTCAGCCAGGATGCATGCTGCATGCTTCGGCGCACGGTTTGCCAGCTTGAAGGTGTCAAACCGAGCCAAACCCAAGAATCCGAGAAATTCGTAGGAGAACACGATCTTCCAAGGCCGTGGACTCAAACTGGCCACTGCAACAGTGAATGACTTCTATAGGACTGAACATGATCTTCCAAGATCTTCTCCAAGCCCATATTTTCAACAAATTTTGACAGTCCGAGTCTGACTGAGGATCATTGCGAAGCTCATTGAGACCGTCCTTCAAGAACAACCATTACACAAGAGGACGTGGCAGGACGTGGCGAAACATGACAGCCACCTACAGTGAAAGCAGAACGCAACTACCCTCCGTTCGACTATCCAGGAAATGGCAAATACCTTTGTTTGAGTGCCTGATCTTCGAAAATGGCACAAATAGCTGCTTTAAAACATGCCGTTACAAGGTCTTTTTTCCAAAGACAGCATTTTGTTTTTCCCCACCTGTCAGGTGAGGGTTGTTAGATTTTATGTCAGCCCTATCTCCTCTTCCTCCTTCTCCTTCTCCTTCTCCTTCTCCTCCTCCTTCTCCTCCTCGTCCTTCGGCGGACCTCAACCACTGACTCAACCACGACCATCCACGCCCAGTGTTCCCTGCCGGACCTCAACCACGACCATCCACGCCCAGTGTTCCCTGCCGGACCTCAACCACGACCATCCGCACCCAGTGTTCCCACCTCAACCACGACCATCCACGCCCAGTGTTCCCTGCTGGACCTCAACGCTCAGTGTTCCCTGCCGAACCTCAACCACGACCATCCACGCCCGGTGTTCCCTGCCGGACCTCAACCACGACCATCCGTGCCCAGTTATACTACCTACTACCTATACTACCTACTACCTATACTACCTACTACCTATACTACCTACAACCTATACTACCTACTACTCACTACTTACTACTTACTACTTACTACTTACTACTCACCACTCACTACTCACTACTGACTACTGACTACTGACTACTTACTACTTACTACTTACTACTTACTACTTACTACTTACTACTACTACTACTACCACAACAACAACTACTACTACTACTACTACCACGACGACTACTACTACTACTACTACCACGACTACTACTACTACTACTACTACCTCCACTACTACTACTACTACTACTACTACTACTGCTATTACTAACAACTACAACAACAACAACAACTACTACTACTACTACTACCACGTCTACTACCACCACGACTACTACTACCACGACTACTACTACCACGACTACGACTACGACTACGACTACGAAGGTCGGGCCCCGAACTGTGCACTACTATTGCTACTACTACCACACTACCACTACCACTACCACTACCACTACTACTACTACTGCTACTACTACTACTACTACTACTACTACGACCACCACCACCACCACCACCACCACCACCACCACTGCTCGGGCCCCGGAAGTTTCCGAGGTTCGGGCCCCGTGCTATGGGCTGAAATAGACAAGAAGGTTGATGTGAACGTGGTTGTTTTGAAATGTCATGGTGGGGATCACTCGAAGTAAAGTATTTTGGTTGTGACCAGGAAGGGCGTTTTTCGGCTTCAAAACGGTGTCTTTACGCGTCCAAACGGCGTTTTTAGACTTTAGGCATCCAAATGGCATGTTTCCTCATCCATGGATTTTGAGCACATGCTTGCAACCCCTTAAAACGACATTTCTTTTTGATTACTTTTATAGTGCTGTTTGAAGATCCAGGTGTTTGGAATTTGGAAGATGGTCTTCCAAGGTGCCATACCATCCACTATTTTTGAATAGAACATCTTCGTAAATAATCCTTCAAACTGAGAAGAGGCTCACTTTTGGTATGTCAGGAGCGCTGTGGGAACCCAGCCTCTCCTGCAAGTTTTCCAGTGTTTCGACAAAGACTGCAGCACTGTGCGTGCAAAGTATCGTCGGGTGTGTTCAGCTCAGCAGGGGCCTCTGACTGGGGCTCAGCTCAATGGGGTGCATGAACACTTTCGTTTCACCTGCAAAGTCGTTCAGATGAACAAAACATATAGATCATATTGCATGTTGCCTCATTTTTTGCAGGGGTTAATTTGCATGAAGGTGTTTTGGGGATCAGGGGGGCCACCCTGCAACAAAGAGAAATCTGCGAGTGCTCAAGTCATGTCAGTGGGTGGTGGTTTCACAACCTTCTCGGAGTCAAAATGTTCACAACATCGCAGGGTCTGAGTCGGATTCGCCTTGGAGGATGAAATAGCTCGCTTCCTGGACGACAGCGAGAGTGAGTTCTACCGAGATCTCGATGTTCGCGTATGGCCAGTTGTGAGGCCATGGGGTTTTGGGCCAAAGGAAACACTGGAGGCCAACGGATGAGACTTTGGAGGTGATTGATCAGGTAGTGTACGGAACAGATAGTTATTCAATAGCTTGAAGATCATGCGACTGATACAATGGCTTTGTGGGTGCTTGGCATGTTCTTTTTTCAATGCTGCACATAAAGTAATTTGGTGTTTGGGCTCTCCTTCCATGTAGATTCTGCCAGACATCCTGCCTGTAAATGTGCAATTGCGCACACCAGCAAGATCCTGTATAATTGAGTACCGGGATTCGGATGTAGTGTTTGACGATGTTGGATATGTTGGTTTCTGGGTGAGAAAACACTCCATGGATTCAACCGAAATGAGATTCCCGATCAACCTGACTTCTGACTGCTCGAAAAAAGAATGGACCCAAACCACTTGGATCTGCATCCGCTCCATCTCAAGACAAACCTACATTCCAAGGAACTTAAGCCGCGCCAACAAGAACAGCTTCTAGGCCCCTAGGTTCATTTGCCGGCATTTTGGATTGTTTTAGTTTTCCGTCTCTGTTTTGGTCACGGTCCAACGAACTGCTGAAGCGACTACGACTTCTTCTCCCTTGAAAGACTTGACTCGACTTCTTCTCGCCGAGTTGCTGCCGCAGATCTGAACACTGTGGCCGCATCTTCACATGTCTTCTGTTTTGAAGAATTGGTTGGCGAGTTTGGACCCATAGGCCCATCGGACTAGATACCATTGATACACTCAAAGAGAACTATGTATGTCATGCTGCGATCCCATGACCACTATGACCACTGCAGGCGCTTGGTGTGGGAGGAAAGGCCACACGGCCTGCAATTGGAAGCCCTGTGCCAGCAAATTCGTGCCCAACTTTGCAGTAGAGGCTGCGGCTTTGTGTCAGACTCACTTCGGAGGAGGCCACCTTGGTGGCCTCTTCTGGTGTGCGGGATAGGAACAGAGTTTAACACACTGAAGTCTTTGTTCAGCACATTGTATACATGTATATATATATATAATATATATATATATTTATGTACTTAGATTTGCTACCAAGCTCATAGCTTTGTAGTTCAAATCGATGGGTAGGCTTTTGATTTGCGAGCTGTGCCGTGTTTCTGATCCGTTCTGCAATCAAGAAGCTCTCACTCGTCACAACATGAACAGTAGGGCAGTAGGGCTTTGAACACATGGAAAGGTCTGCGCAGCTTGTGATCATGGTGACACACAAAATCCACGCGCGTTCCTCCACCAGGCTTTTCGGCCATGGAAAAGTGGCACGGGCTTCAGGCGGCTGCAGGGCTGATCAGGGAGTTGAAGCTCTACCGAGCTTTCTGTCAAGATGGGAATGAAATCTATCACACCTTCAACGCTTCTTGCATGGCACAGCGGGTTTCGAGGAGGCAAGGAGACTTTTAGAAGATGAGGGTTCGATGGGTGTGTCCTACAGAAGAAGGTGGGAACAGATATTCTCGGTAGACCTATATCTGGGTTTGGTGATTGACTCTTTGGACTGGTGGGAACCCACACGGACTGGTTGGACGTCTGGAGATATCCTAAGATTGAAGCTTGCATCGTCGTGCACCGTCTTTCACCAAATGTTGTCACAATTTTGGAGCAGAGAGGGAGATCTTTTCCGGATGCGCTCATTGAAAGGGCGCTGCCTCTTGGTGGGGCTGAAATTTCATCACGACATCTTGTTGTGGTAGAGCAGGTTCAACACCCACGGGGCATGTCCAAGTTTGGTTGGAACATCTACTTGTTGGTCAAGTAGTAGGGATTCACACCGCTTCGCGGTCGAAGCTGCCCGCATAGAGTAAAGGGAAAACAGACATGCACAGACAGACATAGGCATCCATCCATGCATTAATACATACATAACATAACATAACATTACATTACATTACATTACGTTACATTACATACAGTACAGTACAGTGCAGTGCAGTACAGTACAGTACAGTACATTACATTACACGCATACATGCACACATGCACACATGCATACACGCATACATGCATACATGCATACATGCATATGAATACATGCATACATGCATACATATATATCCAGACTTACATGGGAAAAGTGTGTCACTTGCACCCTACCGGCTCGGCAGCAACCTGCGATCGCGGAGCCGGGAACTAGCAGCTTGTGCTCCCGGAGCCGGGAGGAAATGTTAACCGGGCTCAAGCGTGAAAAAGCACTTCGCTATGGCCCTATCTAATCACCAGCCTTTTCACTGAGGGTTCTGTCTTGGTGCGTCTGTCTCGGTCTCGGTCTGTCGGTCTCGGTATGTCTCGGTCTCGGCTTGTCTGTCTCGGCGTCTGTTGCGGTCAGTCTGTCTCGGTCAGTCTGTTGCGGTCAGTTTGTTTCGGTCAGTCTGTCTTGGTCCGTCTGTCTCGGTCGGTCTGTCTCGGTCTATCTGTCTCAATCCGTCTGTCTTGGTCTGCCCATCTCGGCTGTCAGTCTGCGTCTCGCTCACACACGGACGAACACACACTCACGACCCACGATGTCAATAATGCAGTATCTCCTGGGTTGCCCATATTTCCGCGATGTCGAAAATGCCGTCTCCACCGGCCGGCATAGCCGGCACCGCCAACGCTAGCTCCAAAAACATATCAATTTTTATCAACCTTCAAAAAACATTGCAAAACACAGCAGTTCGTAACTCAAAGTTGGGCCCCCCCCCAAGCTAAAGCTTAGGACTTAGTCTAGCAGATTTCTTCCGACTGCTGTTGCCGCAAGCCTCCGCTACGCCCTCGGCACCTTCGGCGCGGGCGGCTTTCAACAGTTAAGTTTCCTTCAAAATCTAGGATCAAAGTATATATATTGCGCGCGTTTCTTCAAGGAAGCTTCCCCCACCCTCAGACGGGAAAAGCTTCCTTGAAGAAGCGTGAGCTATCCTGCGTCCATATGTAGAAGCTAACTTGGCCTACTAGCTTACCTCAACCTTAAGTTTCCCAAAAAAATTAAGAGCCAAATCATTAGCGCAAACTATCCTGCATCCATACTAGTAGCTACCTAGCTACTACTAGTTACCTCTCCCTTACTTCATTGAGTAGGCGCCTACTTAATTAAGTAGGGAGGAGGGGGAGCGGCCTTAACAAAAACGATCGTGTCATGGATGTGTGACACATCATCACTGGTGTCAACTCCCCGGTCTCGTGTCGTGTCTCCCGAGCTCTCTGTCCGAAGTTTTCGTGTGTCCAAGGACAAGACATTGCATCTGGACAAACGTAAAGAGCTGGTTTGGATGGTCCTTGAACAAGCCCCCTGCAGCATCGCCCGAGCCACCTTGCGCTACATGGACGACGAGCCTTGTTTTGGCCGAACTTAGCGAGCCTAGCCGGCTCAAAGAGCCCGGCTGCCGGGCCTCAACTGTGGCGAAAAGCAAGGAGGGCAGGGGAGGACTTTTAGCGCAGGTGAACCAGGCCGAAGTCCTGTGTTCCACCCAATGAGTCGACTGGGTTCGATGGAACATCGACCAAACTTTGGCTTGGCCTGTCCATCGACCACCGTGGTTTTTGTTTTGGACTGGACGGTGGGTGGTTCTCAAAGCACGAAGCTCCGCACGAAGGTGTGGCGAATTGTCGTTTTCACCGACCCATCCGAGGACTTGGACGAGACCGAACGACATGACAATCCACAGCATTCGACGCGCAGCAGCAGTGCCCAACGGTGCCGGATGTGTAGCAATCCCCAAACTTCCGTTGTTTTTGTGTTTTGGGAAGGAGGGAATGACTTCCCACTGGAGGTTTCATAAGATTCATTCTTGAATTTTCTAGCGCCATCCAGATGTTGATTCTGCACAATATGTTATTTGGCGTGAGATACACTCACAGAAGCTCAAGGGTGCTTTGGGAAGCAAAAAACAAACCAAATTCATTTGGGGATAGAAGGTAAGGTACCATACAATACCACAATACCATCAACAGGTCGGATGCCATATCTTCATACCATCAGCCACAACCACAATAACCATGGACCCAAGAATTATTTGCAGCCTTTGTTGTGCCTTTCCCCGGAACTGATCAAGCTTAAATAGGTCAAGTAGGGCCCTGAAAGGGATTTCTTTGATGCACAAAAACCCCGAATGTCTCTGATCTGCTTCCCTGCCGGACCGGCCTTCACGAGATCCCTCGCCAAATCCTCCACATCCTGATGGGGTGAGGTATGTGGTCTCTCCATTGGATTGCCTGAACCTGGTTTGAGATGGCTTGAGCGTGTTCTGCAGTTGTTCTTTGGGTGGATGGCGGGGAGTTTTTGGTACAACCAAGGTCATTCTTGATCCCACCGGTCAAGTCTTAACGGTGAACCTCGTTCACTCAGGAGGTCGCAGGCGACGTTTCGCACTGCAGGATGCTTCAAGCACTTCTGGTCAAGTTGGATGAAGACGTCCGGACCTGCCCAAAGGTCTACTTGAGGACGATGAGAACCTGGCTCAGGACAAGTTCCTTGCTCAAATCAAGCCCCCTCTCTCTCTCTCTCGAGCAGAGTTGAAAAGTTCCAAAGACAGGCCGGCTCCCACCTGAAGGTATGTGCGAGGACAGAAAGCCTCCAATCCAGAATCTAAATACCTTCCTGTGTCGTTTTGGGGGGTCTTTGCAGCCAGAATCGAACACCCGAAGTCACTGTCGCCAGAATCGATCTTCGGATCGAGGCGTGTCCGTCGCTCTCGCCGGGGAAGAAACGCTCGACGTCCAGGAGAGTGTTGGAAGATGAAGAACTTACACCCGACCAAATTTGTGAGCACATTGAGCCTCATGCGGCTCTTGATGATGATGCAAGCAACTATGAGACCTTGGCGAAGAAGCATGGCGAGAAGGTCAGGCTCTAACACACACACACAGACACACACACACACACACACACTCCCTGGAACCATGATTCATGGAAGTGGAAAACAGCCCCCTGGAAGACCACACAGGTGGTTTCCCACTTCCAAGTTAATGACTCAGAGAAATTGTTTTGGCAGTGAAACAAATCTATGAGTAGTCCTAAACATGTCCTATCACAAGAAGAAGGTGTTTTTCTCGTTTGACAGCGACCGAAGCCCTTCTCGAACTTTTCACAAAGACTGTTGGATCTCAAACTCGGCCAATGGGAGCACCCGTATGCTGCAAGACCAATTCTTGGACGCACTTAGTCTTCCATGTCGGCGGAAGGTGGAGCGTATGGTCCGTGGGAATTTTTCAACGGTTTGGAGAACATATTATACAATCATACTCATACAGTCTAGTTGCCGCAAGCAACATGACTTTGCCATCTGTATGAACTGCATCGTTCAAAGGGCTTGCCAGATGTTTGTGAGCAAGGTAGGGACTTCTAGATTGATGCGATGATCGGGATAGCTGGCCGTTGCAAAATGGTGGAGACTGGTGAGAGGATCACGTGTTTAATTGGTAGGTTTGGTAAGTGTTCTCCCATAGACGGTTTTCGTTGCACAGCTGCCCACGGTGCAAGACTCCAATTTTGGGCAACTTATCACCATTGGAGGGAGCTACCAATGGACCCTCATCGAGCGAGGTGCCAACTTCAAGACACAGGGACAGGTCCGAGGTCGGTCATGCGGTCGACGGATTTCTGGGTGTGAATGGCGGCCTTTGGATGTGTTTGGCTGTTCAGTCGATGTTCATTCGCAGACCTTCGGGCCCGGCTACTGGGAAGATCTGGACAGAAGATTTCGGAACCTCCTTCTCTCCTCCAAATCCCATGACAGACCACCCGCCAAACTGGTGGCGCGGCCGAACTGCGCCGAGGGATGCCGTGAACTTCCTGCACCAAAATCACCGCACCTTCGAAGCATCCAAGATACTGGCCAGGCATCGCTGCGCTGGGCTTCTTTGGGGATTTGTTATGTGGGTTTTTCCCCACCTCCCAGGTGAGGGTTGTTAGATTATATCAGAGCTCCTCTCCTCCTTCTCCTCTCCTCCTCTCCGCTTCTCCTTGACTACCGCACCTCAACTGCAAGTGCCAGATCGCAGTGAGCATACATACCGGACCTCAACTGCCAGCTCCTGATCGGCCTGATCGCAGTGGGCACTCCCGGACCTCCACCGTCAGCTCTCGATCGCAGTGGCAACCGCAAGCGCCAGATCGCAGTGGGTGGGCAGTCTCGGACGTCAACCCACACGCAGCACGCACAATCAACAACATACAATCACAAACATAGCCACAAACACAACCACAAATATAACCACAAGCACACAATCACAAACACGACCACAAACACGCAATCACAAGCACACAGCCACAAGCACACATTCACAAACACACAATCACAAACACGCAGCCACAAGCACACAACCACAAACACACACTTACAAACCCACAGCCACAAAGGTAACCACAAACACAATCACAAACACATACACTTGAGATATTGTGTACTGAACTGAATGCGGTGCCACACGCCGGCCTAGGGTTCCATTTCCTAAGAGTACTCAGTAGGAAGCCATCGAATCCTGGGGGTCTTCAAAAGGAAAGGTGGCCCAAAGCGCAAGATCGAGGTCGGCGAGCAGGTCGAAGTGACGACGTGTCGTGCATGTCTGCAGTTTGAGGTTCTGGGCTTAGCCTCATGCCATTCGAAAAGAATCGCAGGTACGCTGGAGTGGCCAACTCCAGTATCCCATCTTGCTGCCTAGCTTTGTTAGACCAGGTCAGCAGCAAGATGCCTGGTCCCCCTGCTTTGAAAAAGGCAAACCGAACAAATCCAAAAGGATCCCTATGATTCCAAGGGTTACACACACACGCCTCCCGGAAGGGAGCAAGATTTAAGCTCCGCGCCAAAAGTGGAGTGAGACTAAGTAAATTGACGGATCTCTGTGATTCCAAGGGTTACACACACACACGCCTCGCGCCTAGTAGTAAGGCCAGGAACCCCTAGAAGCACCAAAGTAGCGTCCTAGTAAGAAGGCCCGGAGCCCCTAGTAGCAACCCACACTAAGGTCCTGACAGGAGGGAGGGGTAGGGAGAGAAGAGAAAAAGAAAGAGAAGAAAGGAAAGAGGAGGAAGGTGTTCCCAGCTACGACACAAGCGTCCAGGGACACACCAAAGGAGGAGAGGAAAAGGGTTCCCAGCTATGACGAAAGCATCCAGGGACACCCAAGGAAGA